ACAAACACATAAATTATCTAGCATGTGTTGTTTATTCGCAGTTTCTAGAGAAACTATCACAGTTTTTCTTTGAAAAACCACCCAAAGAAACAACGTTGATATTGAGTTTTAGTCATATCTCTAAAAAACAAATTAAATTACTTCTTTAATTGTTAAGCGAATAACAAAATATATCTGTGAAAAGTTTTTTGGCACCATACAGACAAAAAAAACTGAATAGTAAAACTTTTCATACATATTCAAGCGCATACGAAAACACAAGCATGTATACAAATGTAACCCAACAAATGGATAAATAAAGTGTTTGATACAAAATTGCTCCTGACATAACATTTGGTGGAAACCTGCATCTTCTAGACAAAGAGTGAAAAAAAAATACCTTGAGTTTGTTTAGTTAGGTTTCCAGTTACGTGTACATACCTCAAAATAACTCATTAACGACATAAATGAGAGGGCGCATGTGAAAATGTACATAAAAAAGTACAAAACACAAGCCTGAAATTGTACAAGTTTACCCACATACAATGCATACATACAAAAAAAACCTAGATAAAATAACAAAAACATGAGAACATATACAAAAACTGTTGCTTATAAAAAAAGATAAATTCTTTCAGTAAAACAAATTCAATTTGAACAATGAGTTAGAAAGAAAGTTTGACCTTTTATTATGGTTAAGTGTCGAAAATTGTTTTGATTTTTACATAAAAATTTATAATACTTACATAAAAATATACAGGCTTACATTTGTTCAAACAAACCTGTATGAAAAGAAGAATCAACCCACTCACAGATTTTACAGACTAACATGAAAACACATAAAAGAGTTCAACTAAAGTATCTGGTGAAGTATTCTAGAATGTTCTGAAACAACTGGGGCAGAGATTAACTGGAAATTGAGTTAAAGTTTCAATCAGTTACAGTACTGTATCTGAAGTTGCCTCGAAACAATTGCAAAAGTGTGTCGAAAATTTCTTTAAAATAGCTACCTAAAAACACATATAGATACATACAGACAAAATCAAATAGTTACGAATGAAATCAAAACAAAAAAGACACAAGACGCATGCGTTTTTAAAAAATTAGATTTGAAAGCATACTTTTAATGTACACACACCTATCAAACATCATGCATAATCAATACACAAACAAGCATACTTTTCACAGGCCAGTATATACATATACAACCACCCACAGAGAGATGTTATGTACTGGAAAGTTTACTTGTATACCCTGAATCATAAACTTCTTGCAGACTTATAATCAAATAATCATATATGCAGACACAAAAGTATCAGCACATAACTAAAACTTGTACGTGTTCAAACTTCAATCACCAAAAAAGGTTCAAACATACTTTCTTATAAGATTCTATAATCCTCGAGTTTTCTGTCTTGGAGTAAGTGTAGCTCTTTCTCTCTCTTTCCCTCTCTCTCTCTCTCTCTCTCTCTCTCTCGCAAACTAAATCTTTCTTTCTTCTCTTTCTTCTCTTTTTTCTTTCTCTCTCTCTATCTATCTATATATCTATCTATCTTTCTATCTTTTTATCTCTCTCCTCTGGTTCTCCTTCCTTCTCTCTCTCTCTCTCTCTCTCTCTCCCTCCCTCTCTCTCTCTCTCTCTCTCTCTCTTCTCTGTTTCTCTCTCCTCCCTCTCCCTCGCTCTATTTCTTCTCTCTCTCTCTCTCTCTCTCTCTCTCTCTCTCTTTCTTTGTCCCTCCTTCCTTTCTCTCTTTCTCTCTTTCTCTCTCCGTCCCTCTCTCTCTCTCTCTCTCTCTCCTCTCTCTCCGTCCCTTATCTGTTTATCTCCTCTCTCTCCCTGTCTAGATCTCTTCTCTCTCTCTCTCTCTTTCTCGCTCGATCTATCTAGCTATCGATTTTTCTAGGTATCTATCTATCTGGTTAGCTATCTCTGGAGCATTGAAAATTGAATTTTTGCATTGCATGTAAATAACAGCTTCATTGGTGGACAAAAAAAATCACTCTACGTAATATCTGAACTTGTTTTCATTCTACACAAAATAACATTGGAGTCATTGCCATTAAAACTTCAGCTTGGGATCAATTGGTATGAAGTTTCAAATTGGGATCTCTTTGGGAAAAATAAATCCATCAGAAACTGGACTGTACAAATTTTCAGATTGAGAACTTTTTACATAAAAATATCATTAAAAAGATAAGGGGATCAAAAGACCTTCATGGAGATCATTAGATATAAATAAAAATAATTAAAATTACATTTAAACATTGGGATAATTTGACACATATGGAAGATCAATTTGTAAAGTATTTGATCATAACTTATTTATAGAGATCAAGGGCTAACTAGAGAGTTAATTGGTTATGCATAGGGTCCGTTAGGTACACAAAGGGATCATTCGTTTCAACTAGGGATCTGGAGTTATACATCAAGATCATTCGTTATACAAAAAGATCGTTACATAAAAATTGTGTTCATTAGCTGCAAACAGATACCGTTAGCTCATTGGTTATATGTGGAGATCAAAAGTTATACATAGGGTTTACATTTCTACACCGTGGTCACAAGTTATACGCAGGATTAATTAGTTGTGCGTAGGGATCATTACTTGTAGATGGGGATCAATGGTTATACATAGGAATCATTAGTTAAATAAAGCGCTCGTTAGTTATCTGTAGGGATCATTTGCTATACGCAAACTTTGTTATTTTCACATAGTAATCATTAGGGATCAATTTTATTACACATGGTCATTAATTACTAATAGGGACTCTTGCTGATACATGGGAATCTTTAGTTAAACATGGGGATCATTAGTCATACATCATTTTAATTACATAGGAATCATAAGTTATGCAGAGGAAATCATTGGTTTTACGCAAAGATCATTAGCCATACGTGGGGATCATCAGGTGTATATAGGGAGCATTGGCTTTACATAGGGATCATTAGGGACCATCTCTACCCAACTATCCCTGTAAGGATCATCCTCCTACCGAACCCAGTGTCGTATTTCTACACTACTTTTATATGAATATATATGTTTATAGATATGTATATTTAAAAAACTATATATATCTAAACAGATAATTTTTTATACAGAATTTTACATATATATACAAGTATTTTGAAGTTGTGAAACAATTCTTTTTACTTTAAATGTATTAACGACAAGAGTTTTTACCATCGACTGAAACATTTTTTTAGGTCACCACTATCGCAGAATAAATTTTGTGTTGAGGAAACGCAAGATAGTTCAACTATTGGAATTTAGGCAGTATTATAAAAAATAAAGTTTTTTTTGTATTTTGTAATGAGGATGCTAATTTGAACGAAAACATTAAAAAATGAAAATCGTGGCCTGTTTTTATGGGCATAGATGTTTTTATGTGAAATCGAAAAATAAAAGAAAATTTTCCGAGTTTATTTATTCAGAGTTTATATTTCTATTATTTTTCGATTTCACATAAAATTATCTAAGCCCATAAAAACAGGCGACGGCTTTCAACTTTTGATGTTTTTGTTCAAATTAGAATCCTCATTACAATATAAAAAAAAACACTCGTTTCTTATAATACTGCCTAAATTCCAATAGTTGTACTATCTTGGCATTCCTCAACATGAAATTCATTCTGCGACACTGATGACGTAAAAAAAGTTTCAGCGATGGTAAAAATTCTTGTCGTAAGTTTACATTTATAGGAAAAACTTTGATTTTACAACTTCAAAAAGAAAGCTACTCATATTTCCAAAAGGGAGTCCGCTGCTGGAAACAAGCTAATCAAATTTTTCCAACAATTTTTGTCTTCTATGGATTAGTATGGAACTGTATGCTTTGCATTTTTTCCGTAAAACAGTTGCTTGACATTATTTCTCAACCAAAGTTTTCATAATGGCCGGTCTGTTGTGAAATATATTTTTTCTAGACTTTGCACTCGTAGTGTAGAAATGGTGCTACTTAATTGTATCTTAGTGTTTGTTATTGCTTTAAATGCTAGTGAATTGTTAGATATCTTTAGATTGAAAAAGTGGTTATAACGTTTTGAATCATAATTAATTTTGTTACCTCCGTTTCTAAATCTGAGTGCGAATGATTAGTTGGAAGAATACATTCGAATTACTTGTTCGAAGAAATCTGTTCCGGGGTAAGCTTAGAATTGAAGGAAGAGATAATTCGTTAGTTTTGTTACGAATGGCATAAAAAGGGGGAAAATGGTGGCTCAGAGGAATAGCTTCAAATACTCATGTCAAATAAGGGGAGAGGTAAGGGGTACTCCGTATGTGGGGGAGGGGGTTGGAGATGGTCTACTTCGTTAGGACTGGGAACTTGAGGCTGCGCCAGGATCAAAGGGAGAAAACTAAAATAAATAACAAATAAACGAAAGAAATTTTTTTCTGAAGTTGTTTTTGATCGGCTTTAAAGAATAATGCATAATTTTAACTGATCGCATCGATTGTTATTCGCCATTGACCAAGAAATTTTTTATTTTAGGTCAGCATTGTTTTGATATTATTTAAACATCATCATTTTGTTCAATTATAGAGAGTTGCAAAAAACTGGAATTGACGAAAATTATTTAAGAAAGGGCAAACTCAATTTTCAGACTAGAAAGGATGTCTCAAAGTCACCTTAAATTTCAATTTTGCATGCAAAACTTGCTAAAAAACGTCAGTCTGCACCTTTTTCTATTTTTTTTTTTTCTCAATTTATCATAGTTTCTGTTTATCTAAGGCATGCCTTTTTTAATCTCCAGAATGGTTCCGTTTATTTTTGCTTCGTTTGTTCACGTTCTCCGGCGAACAAAAAATTGTTAATTTGATGAAAAACTCTGATATTACAAGTAAAACAGTCAAATTTACCATTCAACATCTCAGCTAATTGAAAAATCAGCCAACTCTAATAAAAATCAAAATTTACCTAAGTGAAATTTGTTTTCATGATTTATAAGCCCACTGAAATAGGAAAACTAGAAAAAAGTTCGAAAAATTATATTAAATTTCGAAAAATTATATTTCCAGCTATAACTCATCGGTATAAAACTAAATTAATCAATATTGCAAAATACTTGTAACAATTTCTTCGACAAACAGATAATATTACGCAACATAATTATCCACGACAATCTTGTTATCAGTTAAACAACATGGTAAGCACTATCCAGTCTCTCCAAGAGTGAATCTTTGCAAAATAACTTCCCCCGTTACAAATCTTGTCTCCGTTTGCCTTATTCACATCCACTTTACTGAAACTGGCAACTCCGTAGAGACACTCTGGCTCGAATGTTCCGCATTTCATCATGAAGAGGGGGTTTCCATCATCCCATTTGCAGATGTTGCCAGAGTTGAAAACAGGTGTGGTGCATATAATGTCATCGCGACAGGGAACTAACTGGAACAAAACGCGCATAATTTTCTCACGCTCTTTCTTTTTATTTTAAGGAGTCGCAGGTATAAGAACCTGGCGGTTAATCATTTGATGTTATTTACGCTATGATGATACTACAAAATCTCATTCTGTATCGAGTAGTGCAAGTTCGACTGAAACCCGCAGTAAAAAGATGGGTGAGTCTCTACCGATACTCCTGTGGCAAAAACAACTCCGGCTCACTTAGACTTAAATTGAACAGCTCCATCCAAGTATCAAAACAAAGCCTAATTACTTCAAGAAAACAACAAATAGGCATTTACAATCAAATCCAAAGTTGGAACAAGGAGCGAACTCGACGTATTCTCCCAAAATGAAAAAAAAAATCACTTTAATATAGGCGCAAGTGCTAAATTTGATATCGGAAGGTGGTCAATTTTTCTAGGTCTCATTTACCGGTAAACCAGTTTGGGTCAACTTTAGTGGCTTATTTTGCACTTTTTTAATTGAAAATGTTTTGCCCCATTTTAGTGTTTTATGAATGACAATTTGATCCATCGTGTCTATATTTCGACCGTTTTTCGTCAAAAAAATAGCTGCAGCAGATTTACAAAATTGCTTAGTCAAAAACTGTCATAATATGAAAAACTTAGAGTTTTACATGTTTTGTTTCAAAATTTATCTGAATTATTAAAAAGCCTTCGGAAAAAAACTAAACAGTTTCAAAGAACAATTTTTATTCGAAAATATCCAAAAAATAAGGATTTGACAAATAAAACAATCAGTAGTTAAAACAGTCTGGGGTTGTCCTCCATACACTGAAAATGTTTTTCATACCATTTCATACAAGAAAAATGGTTGTCATACAATTTCATATAGTGTATAATGAGCAATTTTTACCTTGCTGCAAAACAAGTTCGGTGATACTCCTAAATTCTGAGGATTTTTTTTTTCAATCTATAGTCACAATTGAGTTTTTTTCGTGAAAGTTAGCGTGCAAAAACTAATTATTTGTTCATAACGTAACCCAAGCTGAGCTTTTCAAATAAAAGAAACAAAATAACTATTAACTAAAGCTTTTTGTGCAAATTTAATTTTGAAAATTTGCATGCCATGATTTTTGCCAAGGAAAACTTTTGATTACAAATTTTCTAGTCAAAAACACAACTTAAAAGTATTTATTCATAGTTCTGAGTGCACTATGTGTTATTATCTCATACAGTACTACACAAATCCGAGTATATGTGAGATTTCTTACCTCTATCATTAGGGTCTCATGTGTTAGAAAAGCCTTGATTTTTGAACTTTTGGACAAAACACAAAATTTTTTTTGCAAAACTCGAAGAAAAACAGTTTTTTGATTTATGAAAAACTGCTTCTCAAATAATTTTTATATATGAAAAGAATGTTTATCGTAGCTTTCTCTTACACTTTCACTTTTCGGTACCAATGGAATTCTCCCAGCAGTTTTCCATATATTAAAATTGTATGATGACCTTTTTTGGTCAATCCTGGGTAAGTCTTAAAACGAATTTTTCACTTCTTTAATCTTTTTCGAAAACAATTCAAAGTTAATTTTTTGGCAAGCCACGAAGTTCAATTTGAAAAAAAAACAGCATGGATTTGGTTTTTAAATCTTTTTGGGAATGTTGGGCTTTCGTCTCAATTTTTTCCTTGATACAGGGAAATCTAAAATTAACGGTTTTTGATATTCGCTCTGAGATGGCTGAAAACAGACTTAAATTTGTTGCATGGCGCTCCCTCAAAAGAAGTACTTTCAAAAGCGTTCTGTATTTCATAGTTTGTATATGTTATAACTTCACTTGGCATACGTTTTTTTTATTTGTAATTGTTATAACAATTATTAAATTACAACTTCTGGCTTTTGGGTCAAAAAATTGGTTTCGGAGTTGTATGAGTTGCTTCAGAATTGTTTTTTACTCTGATTTAGCTTAGCGAAAAGAGTGTAGCCAATTCAATTATTTAGAGTCAATAAGTCAAGAAAAAAAGATGTTTGCAATGAATAATACTAAAGTTGAATACTAACGTGAAAAGGATTTCCAATGTCAAACTTGGACTGTACGAAGAACATCTCTTTGAGTGTAGATGGAACTGCTTCGTGATCACTAGTGTCCTTCCTATTTTCAGTCACACCCATCCCACACGACCCTACAGGAAAAACATGCTATGAATCAACAACAACAACAACAACAACAACAACAACAACAACAACAACAACAACAACAACAACAACAACAACAACAACAACAACAACAACAACAACAACAACAACAACAACAGCAACAACACCAACAACAACAACAACAACAACAACAACAACAACAACAACAACAACAACAACAACAACAACAACAACAACAACAACAACAACAACAACAACAACAACAACAACAACAACAACAACAACAACAACAACAACAACAACAACAACAACAACAACAACAACAACAACGACAACAACAACAACAACAACAACAACAACTTTAAACATCGATTTATTCTGTCTCTTTAAAAAAAAAACTTTCACTGGCTTTTGGTAATTTTTTATGATATCGACTTTTATGATTTTAGTCCGTCAATTTCAAAATTGATCTAAAGATGCTTTTGGCAAAAAAAAACAAATTTTCAAAAAATTCCTGCTTTTGCTCCAACCACTGAAAATGCGGAGGAACTTTGTTATTCGGGTGTGTTTTAGTTTTTGTTTCATTTTTTCTTTTCCACATAAAATCAGGAACCACAAACAATCCCTGGATTGGGTCGAATTATTTATCATAATAAAGCCCTGTATTTCGTGATTCGAACGACGTGGAAATTTTTCACAACGTTGTCCCAGTGTCGAGTAAAATTGGTTTGAAGTTTTTGAGACTTAGTCTAATTGAGTAACGCGATCGAGAATTGTGCGTTATATGAAAGTTGAACATTTGGCTGAGAAAACTTGATTTTTTAAAACGAAAATCCCATTTGAAACTTTATACGGCGCTTCTTTGGCTATATGTATTTCCTAAAAACTGAAAAATTTTGTACAAAAACTAGAAACCTTTTTTTTCAAAGTATTTTCTTCTGAAACTTAGTTTTGTATGATTTTGAATTTTTGAAGCCGACCTTTCACAAATATGCCTTATAGAGAAACTTTCTACACAGGGGAAGATCTAAGTTTTTCTCGAGGAGTGAGGGCTCAAAAGATTTTAATGCTGGTCCGGTTAAAATGGATGTCATAAAATAGTACCCAATACCAAAAGGGGGACCCTTTGTTGGGTGAGGGGATCGAACTCTTGATAGGCGGGGCGTCCCCCTTCCCTAAGTCCGTTCCCATTTCTATTTTTGTTCAGTTCTCTCATCAGATCATGGACAAAAATAACCGACACTAAAAGGAGAAAAAAAACTATAAAAACACTTTTTTGCAGTTTTTTTATAGAAATGGTCAGAACACTCTGTGCTATTTGCGCAGCAGTCGACTATCCTTGTTTTATTTATAGAAATAATTAATCACGCTTGGAATTCGATGCGGGGATGCAAAAGTTGCAAAAGTTAACACCCTTCCAAACTTGGAATGATGTTAACTTTTGCATTTTTCAGAAATTTAGACAACTCAACAATGAAAAAGAGCTAATTAATCTTTAAACAAAAGTTTTTCTCCAGTGATAATCATAGTTAATTTTGGACTACAACTTGATGTTGTCTTTACCTAGAAGTCTGTTGGTCAGTTCGTCTTCTGGGATGAGATGTGGACATAGTTTGAGGCCGATTTGGCTGGCGCGTCTGATAGGTGCATTCGTTTTTAGTAGGGCAATGTCGTTAGCAAGAGTGTTGCTACGATTAAAACTGAAAAGAAAAACGCAAATTTAAACATTGTCGACACTTTTAATATCTAAAAATTTCATGAATTACAAAACTTTGAGGTCAAAACTAATTATGATTTTATATTTTGAAATCATCTTTGGGAAACGGTTGTTTTGTATTAACGAAATTGAAGTTTTTTGGTCTTTGAGACGAAATTAGTGAGAAACACATGCCAAAAACTGAGCATATAAAGAGCGTAATTACCCTGGTGCGACGAATATTTGCTTGACTGAAAAAAACTTTTTGAGCGCCTGAGGAACTGAGAAATCGCCAACTTCTATCCGAATATTTTCAGCTGAAACAAAGGAAATTATGAAAAATAAATAGGTGATTCGTCTCTTTAAATCATCCAAAAATTGAACTAAAAGAGAAAAAGTCACCAGACAGAAAATGATCAACTCATTATAGATTGGATATTTTGTTCGACCCTTTAGATACAAAGCGGATCAGGGTGGGAATCGAACTTCAAATCTCAGCTTTGTTCGGTAGGGAGTAGATGGCTGACAGCGATAGCATTAGCCAAAACCATTTTGAAAACTGATTAGTGTAATTTATAACTGTTATTTATGTTTCGACTGTGCTCGACCTATATTTCGATTTTTTCGACCAAAGTTGGGTATGTTTAGACTGCGCTCGACTTAAACTTGCTTCTCGGCCGCTGAAATTCAGTCACAAAACTGCACGTGCTCCATTTTCAAAGTCCAAACACAATCCGAGCACCTCGACCCGGGTAGTTAGCACAAAAAAATAGAACTGAACAAGCTTGACAAAACTACAAACTCGCAAAAAACTCCTTAAATTCGAAAAAGACTGCTCGTATCTGGGCTAAGCCCCTCGACATCTTCAAAACGGTTTTTGAAAACATCAATTGAAAAAACAGATTTAAAAAAATGAGTTTTGTACAAAAATTTTAAAATTTATTTACTAGTTTTTCTTTTGTAGAAAAATCACCCGCATGCTACGCCAAGTACAGCCGCTTCACGCGTTTACAGCATAAAATTATCTCGCGCGTAATTTGTCCTAAATAAGACAAATTGACAAATACAAACCCCAAAAAATCGGTCGAAAATGATTTTTTTTCATTGATTTTTGTTTGGCACCGCAAAAAATTTCGCAAAAATCTCTGCATCTTTTAAATGAGCATTGCAGAAACTTTGCAAAGCGAGTGTACGGCCTGCTCCATTTCAAACTTGAACTCAAAATTGAAAAAGATTCCGTTAACCTCTCCCCCTAAAGTTTGCAACTTTGCTCCCTTACAACCCCCCGTCCGCATAAATGAGGCAGAAATGAGGCAGACAAAACATAGGTACACAACGTTTGAGCCAAAAAAATTGCATAAGCTCAGGACCGTATTACGTTTCAAAAAAAATTTAAAAATTTGTCACTTAGTGTTATTTAAAAAGTCAAAGCTTGTCCAAAAAACACGCAAGCCCAAATATATATTTCCTAGAAAATTGGGCCAAAAAATAGCTAAGTCTTAGGATGATATCGCCCTCTTTTTCAAAAGCTCTGCTAAACTTGTTCAAAAATAAACGACAAATCAGAGGTTATTTTAAACCTTAGTCAACAAGATTAGGTCCTGGTTGAAACATTAATAGTACACTATTGTTGTACGTTAACAGAAATTTTGAATTTTAAGTTTTTTTATAGAAAATTATCTGCACGCTACGCTAAAAAACAGCCGCTTTACGCGTTTATTGCTTAAAACTTATCTCGCGCGTAAGTTGTCCTAAATAAGACAAATTGACAAATACAAACCCCAAGAAAATTTCAAAGAGCTATCACAGGTATCCTATTGTAGTGAAACTATTAGTTCAAGAAAGCATTGGCTCTATAGGATGGTATGGAAAATTTCGTTCTAAAAATGGCCAATCAAAAAGGCGAAATTAGCCTGGAGGAAAAAAACAACCCGAGCACAAAAATTCCGTCACTTTCTTCGAAAGTCGGAATAATAATTTCCACAACTGATTAAATCACAAAAGAACTTACGTTTTTGAAATGCTACACAATGTGCAGCAGTTAAGACATATCTCTCGTCAATAATAGTAGATCCACAAAAGCCAGTTGAAAATGTGTATTTCACTCTTGCATAGAACCTGAACAAAAACAACTGGTTTATCTCAGCGAAGAGGAATTACAGTTATAATTCAATAATGACGAAACCCGACAGATAAAAAAAGTATCAACAAGATGGATGTTTGACAATTCACTTCAAAAAAATTGATTATTTAATTGGACCTGTTTAACAATTACCGCCCTCTTTTAGGAAGGGGCATAATTGTTAAGTAGATTGATTTTGTCGAAGTTTCGACCAATCGAAATGCAGCAACTTTTGAATTAAAAATAGAACGCTTATATTTAACTGCTTATATTTATAGGGGTGACATATTTTTAGTAGATACCCTAGGAGGGGACTGTTAAAGAGATCCATTTCGTTTTCACCAACCTTCGTTGGGGTGTGTCCAAACCGTTTATTATCATCGACTTCTGTGCATTTTGAAACGATGATTGCTTCGGTTCGTTTTCATCTCTTGAAAACTTCGAGTTTTTTGATCGCGCTGGAACTGCAAACGAGATTACCGAAATGTTGGCAAAAATGACAACGACGATTTTGAGCAACTGCATTGTAGCAAGTAATTCGAGTTTATGTATTTACCACTCTTTTATTTAAATACGTTCATCAAAGCTTGTTGACAAAATATGAAATGTGTTTTATTCAGATTTTCATTCAAACGCTGTAAACAACGTCTAACAACTACTGTGACTCCAAATTTGCTGGCAAATCGGATCGCAAACTCAGCAGAAAACCATATGTTATCGTTGATTCACAAAAATGTCGAGAGCCGTAGTAACAGATAGATTAGAAACTATTCGTATTAACTTGACAAATTCACAAGATTAGCCATCAATTATACTTCATTAGGTTTTAAAACCGGTTTCCTTTGATGAAACAGCAGTCAATGACAAATTTCATAATTTCGTTCTTTTGCCTGAGATTTGGTAGTCAAATATAATTATTTTGAACAGAGATGAACTTTAAGCAATAAAGTTTAAAGAAGTTTTAGTTTTGATTGAGCCAATATCAAAAGAAAAAAATGCGTATCGTTGGCTAGAACCTTCAAGTCAAATAGGTTTTCAAAAACTGACCTGATACGTGTGACAATTTTTCTCAATCACGATCAGGAAAAATTAGGTTAGAGGCCAAACAGCTGCGGATTAAAGCCCTCAAAAAACTTGTTCGACTGAAAAAAAAACATTTTTCATTACGAGGCTGTGTACTGGAAATTTGTGCGCGTGTGTGTATGTATATTCCTGGGTTACAAAGACAAGACTTTAAACATGTTCCAAAAATAAGTGGATTCCAGTTTCAAAATTTCCGTGGATTCCGCGGACAAATACCTGTAACGAAAATTTTATCGGCACATTGGTTTTGTTGTGGATTCCGCAACGAGCAAACATAGATAATTGTTCCAGTCTCCGCAAGTTAGGTGGATTCCCCAAACGTAGGTGGATTCTGCAAGTTCATGAGGAATACGCTGACAATTTGCGGATTCAGCTTACATTTTGCGGAATCCGCTTACAACTTGCGGATTCTGCTCACACTTCGCAGATTCCACTTAAATTTACGGGTTCCACGGAAGCTCAAATGTTTTTCACAAACATATTTTGATTTGTTCAAGAACTCCACAAAACGTGTTGCGGATTCCGAAAATTTGCAAGTTTTTGGAGCGATTTTGAAGAAGATTAAAAAAGTAGCAAGGTTGCGAATTCCGCAACACATCTGATTTCGTCTTGTTGCGGAATCCGCTGAAAATTCAGAAAATGCACAATTTGGCCTCGTAATATTATTGAAACCATTCACACCACAGCACACGTGCAACCGAAAACAAGTCAACAAAATTGACAAACTTTAAATTAAACTGGATCACAGATGAAAAGTATTTCGAAATTTAAGCTCAAGACAACAATACGATTCAAGTTGTAATTAAAAATTATGTCACGAATTTTAATTTAAAAAGTCGAAATTTGTCCAAAAAGACCCAAGCACAAATATATATTTCCTCGAAAGTCTGACCAAAAAGTATCTAAGTCCAAGGATGATATCACGTTCATTTTCAAAAGCTTTGTCAAAATTCGTCGAAAAGAAACGACAAACCAGAGGTTATTTTAAACCTTAGTCCACAAGATTACGTCTTGGTTGAAACAATGTGAGTACACTATTGTTGTACGTTAACAGCAATATAGTGCTGGTTTAAATTATCCGGACAAAATGAATAAAGCTTGAAACCTAAAACACGTTTCTGTTTATTTAGGTTAGTGTATTACAAAAATGTAGGAGACAAATCAATCTTAAACTTTCAACATTCAACAGAAAATACATGGTGCAGTTTGTTACGGCCTGCTCCATTTCAAACCTAAACTCAAAATGCAAAAAGATTCCGTTAACATCTCGCCGGCCGCAATCAAATATCGGCTCTTTTTCCTTTTCCCCCCACCGCACTCAAACACATTATTTTTATGGTCTAACGAGTGGTTTTAGAAGGTTAATTATGAAAACCAAATGTGTTTGTCATGGCCTAATTAGTTTACATGTCAGTTTGCATGACAATCGATCAATGTGAACATTAACTTCAAATGTAAAAATTTGCAGGTGGGGGGAAAAGGAAAAAGAGCCCAATTATCTTTTGTAATTACAATCACGGGGCCTACTGTGTTCTGAATTGATCCTTAAAAATTGTTTGTAAGTAAAAGATAAATTTTTGAGCTCCACTATTGTTCGACCCATAAGATATTTTCATTCTTTAATCAATATCGACAGCAGAATCTTTTTTGGTATGTGTCTTTCAGGCTTCTTTGAAATTCGTGTATTTCAAGTTCAAAAATTATCTCAAGCTCAAAACAGTTATAAGCTTTCAGCGGTTGTTTTGGGATTTTTTGACAAGAAAAACGCAATTTTTTCGTTAGCTGTTCAGTTTTTTAATAAGGTTCTTCACTGTTAGTATATACTTTTGCATTCCGCGAGCGTCATAAACTCTGAAATTCTTGTAGAATAAGGACTGCTAACTTAGACATTATGGTCTGTTTTATGCTCGCTTTGAACAATCACCTATGATGAGAAAGCGCAAGCGCGCTTGTGTTAAGCATGTTCCAACAGGCAAAATCATTCCCATCTGAAATGTGGCTAAATTGGTCATTTCTCTTTATCCATAAAAAAGAGGGTAAAAAAGTTTGTTCATAGGTGCGTGAGGATGGTTGTGTGCACAGAGTTCACCAAAAACGGATGATTTATTGCATTTTGAGAAATACAAATTGTGCAAAGGACAGGGTCTAAAATATTTTATATTTGCTTGCATAGTTGAACAGAAAAGGAAAAAAGAGCAGAGGGTTATTTTTAATAGGTCGTTAGAACTAAACATTTTCATCCTAACTGATCGATCAATTTTTTTTTCTTTTTAAGGAAGATTTCCTAAACATTAATATACCAAAACTAGGAACACGTGAACAAAAAAGATAATTATCCCTAATTACTTACCTTGTTTTTACGTATATTGTTCCCACTGATAACAACTATAAATACCAACTAAATTTCTGGTAAGTTATCAAAAAAATTGATGTCAAAAAACCTTCATAGAAAATTTTTCGTCTTGCACCGATCCAAAAAAGTGGTGTCCAGACTGAAAACTTCAAACGAATAAGGCTAAAAATTCCTTAGATCTTTTAAAACCTGAAGAGGCAATGGATTGGCTGACTGCTTTCCTTATGGGAGCACGCTCAGAGAAGAAAGTTGACAAGGATTTAAATGGAACGAACCCCGCAGACCTTCCAACCAATATTCTCTCCCTCGACCAATGTAGACTTCAAGCATTCATTAAGTTCGGGAGTCTTGTTTCGCAAACAAAAACCTCATTGAGATCCACATTTTGGTACGAGACTACTGCAGACCCCGAGAAATGTGGTTGTTGCCGACCAAACTTTGTTCATATCGACTGTTTAGATTCAAGGTGAGTCCGACGGCGTCTAATTGATATGAAATTTATTAAACGTTTAGCGATCAGGCACAGCATTGCACAGCTTTGCTTTGCACCTTAGCTTTGCACAGCTTTTGGCTTGGAACTCCAAAATTATTTTCAAAAAACCTGCATATACTTCTAAATCAACAAAAAGACATCCATGAAACTTTTTTAAAAAGCTTGCAAAGCTAAGGTTAGAACTGTTGGGATAAATCTCATAGTGACAAATCTTCAAGGGGTAAGAAAAATAGCTCATGTGGTAAGATAGAACTATGCAAAAAAATGTCAGAGTAAGTTAAGTGACAACAAGACAGTTGAAAGTAGATTAAATGAGAGAGTGAACCATCATACTGATGGGGGGTCAGTTTTATGAGGGGGAATGAGTAATATCTGAGAACGACACTCAGCAAAGAAGCTTTTTTGCATCAAGTCATATCATAATCGCCGCTGCACGGGAAAATTTCGTCGTTGATGACACAGTTTGAAAAGATTTAACAGGACACAGGTTCTGATACAACAGTGATATCTTCAAGCATCTGGGAGAAGCTTTGAAGACCTACTCCATATGGAACTGCTCGGTCTCTGAGACAGTACGATGGACACAAAATCTACTTCAAAGGAACAACAGTTTGTGACCTGACTTGGAATGGTCGAAATTACCCAAAGCTACCCCCGGTCTTTGTGCAATCGAACAAGGGTTTTGGACTCCTGGTAAACGATCTCTTACCAATCTACTACTCGATACTGGCACTCAGAGTCATTGCCGATAGTCAAAGGAGACAAGGTTCAGGTGAAATTGAAGCCTGGAGCGCTACCTTTTTTTGCAAGGCTTGCAAAAATCCGATGTCGATGCAAGAGTCAGTAAAAGCAGAGCTAAGGACATGGGCAGACCGGGATTCTCGAGCCATTGCATCCCGAAGGAGTTACCAATGCATCACTTATGTGCCATCATCAGTTGTGTTGCGGAGAAAGAAAAATACTTGGTCTCAGACTTTGTGCCGACTAGAAAAATGACCTCAATAGCAAAATAATAGTCAAAAACAGCAAGTTACCGGTAATGGAAGCACCTTTATTTGAATTAAGTC